AAAAAAAAAAAAAAAAAAAAAAAAAAAAAAAAAACAAAGGAAGCAGGCAGGGAATGCAAAAACCATAAAGAGACGGCAAGGGAAGAGGGAATAAAGAAACAAAACCCAGCTCAGCAATGAGGAGGGAAAAGAAATTCCTGTGGGCAGACTGTAAATGAGGCCATATTAAGTTCTTCCCTTCATTATGCTTTTTCTTCCTTAAAATACAAACTGACTTATTACCACAGTTCTATGATGGGCTCCTAACCAGTCTCTGCCTTCAGACTTCACTTCCTTAAAATAATTCTATGAAGTATCACAGGGCTTACATTCTTAAAATATACTCTATTCTTAAAACTCCACCACTAAAGAACTAATAAGGACTTTAAATTACCTCCCAGGTCAAGTTTATACTTCAGCCTTATAATCAAGGCCTTGAATGCAGTTCTACTGATTATCAATTGCCAATGATGTATAGAGATTACAGAAGGTACAAAGAATATCAGTGAAGAAAATACTTACGAATATATGAAACAGAGAAGAATTTAGCAAATGAACAAGGTACATTGTTCAAATTCCAACTAGGGCAATGCATTGTCTTGACTCATGAAAGAAGTGGTTCTCCTGGTCTTTGAAGGACCCACAGGACTTCAAATGGCAGATATGCAAGAGGTAAATGTCATCCAGTGGGGGAATAAAAAGTACAAATATACATGATGTGCTCAAAAGTGTATCATGTGCCTGAGAAAAAAAGCCAGCTTGTGTAGGTGAATCACCTCTTTCCTATGACACAGCATGATGTAGGTAATCTTGAGCCAGACTGCCTAGGTTCTAATCCTACCACCAGCACTTGGTATTCTGTATACCCTTGGACAAAAAAACATGACCATTTCACACCTCAATTTTCACATCTATAAAACAGAGTTAACAATGATGGTGCTGACAAGATAGAGCCATTATAAGGATTAAATAAGATAATGTCCTGAGATGTCTGGCTGGTAATACAGTAGGCACTTAATAAACGTTAGCTATTATGGTATTGTTGCAGGCTAGTCATAAGGAGCATCAGTGCCCTTCAACAGACCAAACAGTGCCATCACAGGCTTTGGAGTGAAGAAATTACTAGATCCAGCCAGACGTCAGGGTAGGCTAAACTGATGTCAGTCTTGTGTAGAATATACAAACACCTGTGATTATTTGCAAAGTGTTCAGTGATAGGGGAAAGACCTGAATTAGGCTAGTGACAGATGGGCCAGCAAGAATAAGATCAAGGGAGATTCTGAAGGAAGAAACGCAAGGATGTTACCACCAGAAGTACAAAGCAGTAAAGAGAAAGAAGACAAGAACACTATTTTACAAAGCTACCAAGCCATCCAGATGTTCCAACATGTACTACTTTGATAATCCTGTTCTCTGAACACCTAGATCAGTGATGGTAAATCTTTTAGGACTTTCAATGATAACAAATAACCTGCTGCAGCACACATACCATAGGTTCACCAAAACTGACCTAGAATTTTAAGTTTGAAGGAGAGTTTGGATTAAGTGCTACTCAAGGTCCTTTACATACTGCTCACCTGCTATTTTATGCATTCATATCCTTTCTCTCTCTCGCTCTCTCTCAAGTCAATAAGCTGGATAGTGAGTATCCTAGTAGCACAGAAACGGACACTGCAAGCCTCAAAGATAGTTAAGTTACCATATGAAATATACAATGTTCAAGAATTCCAATGGCTCCAATAGTTAAATGAAGCCCATTTCTCTCTGGTATAATACCATTTCAAGTTTGGTCACAAATGCGCATAAATTTGTTAAAAAGATAAAACCTGAACTGCAATAGCCTGGGACACACCCACCTACTACAAGTGTCTTTTCCTTAACCCACAAGGAGCTTATCAGCTGCCTCCCTAGGGAAGATCCCAGCCCTTAGCCTGCAATGCATCAACAGGCTATCTTGTCAAATGTGCTATTTGAAAAGGTAAATGGAAATACAAAAGCTCACAGAATAAAAAAACCTAGCCTTTGTTTTATTAGTCACCCACCAGTAACTTGTGTTCCCCAAGTAGAATACAGGCTTTTGTTATCATCTACTAAAATCTATAATGCTAATTACAAGTTTCTGATGCTTTCAAAATGTAAAAATCACAAGGAACAATTTTGGGAAACTGAAGAAATAGTTTTTAAGTTCAGTACGTATTTGTACATATGCATAGGAACAACTCAAAAATATCCAGATGTTAAAAATGATTATCTGTAAATTACAGAATCACTAGAGATTTTTATTCATTATATTTTCCTTCATTTGCCAATTTTCACAGCACATGCTGGTAGTATCTCATAATCAGAAGGTTAAACAAATAGTTCACTTAAAAATTTTAACCTTTCTTACACAAATAAAAATCTCATAATACTAAATACATATTCTATATCAAACTATTTCAGATAAAATTATTTCATTTGAAGAACTTATCTCAAGTCACATACAGTACATTATCTTTTGCCTTGGAAAACAAATATATACTACTAAGATTCTCGACCAACTCAAAGAACCAGAACCTCTTCCACACTGAGAGGTTTGTACAACTATCAAATTGCTTAGCAGGGGTTTTTCTAAAAAAGAGTTTTCTGTTAGGAAAAAAAAAAAAAAAAGCTTTCAGGATGTTTTACATATAGGTCAAAAGAATATTTATTACCATAATAATTCTTTTGAAAGTCATCTGTTAGCATTTCAAACAGGAAAAATTACAAAAGTCACATTCTTCATCACATGGTATATTTTGGTAGGGTTCTAAAAGTTAAGGATTAACAACTATCATATCCAGTTAAGCCTAGGCAGTACCATCAAAAGATAAGGTACAACTCAAAATTCTAGACACTGTAAACTATAAACTAGAATCCACATCACTGAAGGTTAAGATGATAGAGAATGAAATGTATGTTCCCTAGAGACCAGCACCTATTATGCGCATCAGTATCTCCTTGTCGCTAACTTTCCTGGGAAGGTACTTTGATTACCCACATATCATTAGATCTGCATTTCCAAGTAACCCCTACACCTGAAACTGCTGAAATTCAGTGTTTACCAGGCAAATCCTGAGGAAACTGGTCCACCAAGTCCCTGTAGACACAGACCATGACAATTACCCAGATCTACACCCAGAGTTGGAAGAGACCTACTTCCTTCAAGATCTATTAAAATAAACTGCTTAAGTGTGTGAACCACAATGATAAAGAGCTTTCCTGAACTCACCTGAGACCCTGGGAGCTCTCTCTGTGATGAGCTTCTGCCTTCTTCGGGTTCAGACATTAAATTAGGGCCAGATGTCAAAGACGGAGTGTCTATAGAAGCAGGAGCCAGGTCTTGGGAGAGAGGTGAGAATGGGGGTGTAGGAGGAGGCAGCCTCACCACACCTTCCTCTGGGACTGCCTCCCTCTCACTGGACAAGCTCGAAGCAAGTTGGCAGGTGTCAGGATTTAGGGCAGGGAGGCTGAACGAATTGTTCTCAGATGTCTTAACACCATCAACATTTCCATTGTACTTCCAACCAGGATCCATCTAAATAAGAAACATCATTTTAAATGTGGTATTCTGTTAATCTTAATTTGTTTTTAAAATGTGCTCATTAATATTTTACTTATGTGCCTGTTTTTCAGTTCTTGGGATCAAATGCAGGACCTTCATGCATGCTAGGTAAGTGCTCTACCATTCAGTTACATATACCCTCAGCCCCATTTCTCAGTATTTTAAAACTACAAAAGTAACACATTTCATTCTGGTTCTGGATATTATCATGTTGAACAAAGAAAGGGGGTGGATTATTAGGTAAGAACAAGGAAACAGGAAGGGAAGGGGTCTGTAAGAGGGAACAAATAGGATTAAAATATATTATAAAAATTGAAACCTCTTTCCCAAAAGTGTGAAGCTAAGGTGTAAAGTGGAACCAGGGGAAGAGAGGGTGAAAATGATCCAAGAATGTTATATGTATGTATGAATCTGCCAAAATTAATCTGTACACCCATTAATCTGTACAACCAGTAAAAGAGTAAAAAATAAACCTATAAAAATAATACCCACAGTAAAGAAACTATATTGCTAAAAATTTAGAGTACATTCTTTCATACCAATAAATACACACCATCATAGTAGGAAGATTAAATGTTCTTAACAAAAGCATTATAATATACAAACTGCTGAAACTTGTTTTGCTTTACATCACTCTAAGTGAATCAATAAATAGAACTCTAAACCACTCCTTTTATTACTAAATATTTCATAGTGTGCATAACACTACTTTATTTGAGGTATATTTAAAACCATTTAAGGTTTTCTGACACTACCAAATACATTACAATGAATTCAAGTATATCTTTGTAAATGAAACTTTCATTCATATAGCCCCAATTCCCAAAGATTTGCTAGATGAAAAGTTTAATAATATATTTTTTTTCTTAAAAACAACTGCAGCTCTACACTCCAAATGTATAAGAAATGCTGTTTCTCTGCATTCTCACCAATACTAGATGCTTCCAAGTGTTTTAAATCTTGATCAGTCTGACAGATTGAAAGTTGTATGGCTCATTCTTGCTTTAATGAGGTTAAACATGTCTCTATGTGTTTTATATTATCAGCCATTTAAATTCCCTTTTCCTTAAGTTGTCCATTCATTTTCTATATCCATTTTCCTATTGTTATATTTCCCTTACCAGCTTGTAGAAATATTTTATAACTTACAGTTTTAACCCTTTATCTATAATACATTTTGCTAACATTTGTCCTGAATTCATCAATTGTCTTGACTCTAAGTTTAATTTTTATGTTGTCAAATGTGCCTATACTTTCCAATATGGTAGTCAATGTGTTCCTGACTAATTTAGAAAGGTTTCCCTCACCTCCAATACTCTAATTTTTCGATTCACACTTTTCCTCTTGTACACTTTAAAGATACTTTGGCAGAAATCATATAAATTTGAATAATCTTAAAATGATTTTGCTTCTTTTACATAAAAATATAAGTGTGGTACTACTTCACAATCAGGAAAAATGCAGTAATATTCCATATCCTTTGAAATCCCAATAATATACATATTTCAAAAAGAGAATTTAATAATTATATTCAAACATATCAGTTCTGAAGTGGGAACTTAAAGAAGAAATTTATATATAAACCCTTGAAAATATTGAGGTCAAGACATAATGAAACCGTTTTGTAGGTCAAAAAGAGCTGACTACTGGCAATTTTGTATCGTTCAACCTATTACTTCACAAAAGCTGTATTTGAAAAAATATGACACTAAAAAATACTCTGCTTTAGAACACATCTTACTCATTTATAAAATGTACCAGCCCTACTTATCACTGAATTTAATAATCCTGAATCATTACTTACCATGCCTTAAATTTCTACTGGCTCTAAACTGACATAATATAAAAGTACTTTGTATATGTTATAAACATGTCATACATTAAGTACACATAAGCTCCCCAACTTTTGCTCTTTGCAACAGACTATGTGAACTGGGAGCATTTTTACCGTATAGCATCTGGGGAGTGGTGAGATTCCCCTTGACTGAGTGCCAAAAGGTCTCGGCGTGACCACAGATGTTAACCTGACTGTATCAGTTTTCTGGTAACTTCTGGGGAGAGAAGCTGAAATTCGAGTTGGCTCCATTTGTGTACTCAGTGAATGCTGAGAAGACAAAGAGGCCGGGCGTTGTTCTTCCGTGAAGCTTTTAGAAGGAAGCTGAATTTCAGTTGCTACACTGTCCTGCCTTTCTGTAAGAGTTGTAGACTCTCCTTTAGGAATTTCAGCAGGATAAGTTGTTCCCTTCTCTTCCACTCTCTCACTCTGGTAACGGGCTTCTGACAGAATCAAGGTAGCAGGTCGTTCATCATTCAATACATCATCAGAAGAGTACATCCTCCTCCTAGATGTAATGGTAGACTTGTGATCTTGGGATTCCCTTAGCAGAAAGAAGCACACTATCACCACAAAGTTATGCATTTGACACCAAAATAGAAAGACAGGAATTAACATTTGAATGGTTAAGATAAAGACTACTGACTTAATGCAATACTAGTAATAGTAAAAACACTAACAGAGTATGATCACATACATTTTAATGTCAAAAGTAAACAAGCCTGTAAAATCTAATTTTTTAATATTAAAGATATTCTCAACTGACAACGTGTAATAGGAAGAAAAGGGCTAAAGGTGCAGGGGAAGTAAGAAGGGTAGGGGAAAGAAATGATATGAGAAAAAGAAAAATGGGAACAAAGACTTTGTAATTGCGGGGGGTGAAGGGAGGGCAGGGGCATGGGGAAAAAATGAGAACCAAGACCTGTCATGTAGAGGTACAAGATCCCAATGATAAATGTAAATGTACTGTATATTTAAAAAGTACCAATAAAGTCAATGAAAAAAGAAACTGAAAAAAAATTTTTTAAAAGATGTTCTCAAGTACATCTTTGGACGTTATGTTTTAAATTATAGAAACATCTGAATAATAAAATAACGAAATTTTAACAAGAGATTATTTACAAAATTTTATCTACACCTTTTCAAGTCTTTTTTTTTTTTTTTTTTTTTTGTAGTCGGGAACTTACACTGGCAAGGCAGGTGGTGGAACCACTGAGCTAAATTCCTGACCCAACTTTTCAAGTCTTATGAAATGAAAACATTATCTATAAATGAGTAACAACCAGTCTGAACCCTCCGAAGCTATAGATTCCTTTGATAGCATTATGAGTTTTTCTCTATATAAAAAGGCTTGTTTATGAAGATGCAGTCAATATACAGTTTCATGAAGCTTGATAGGACTTCAATGGACAATTAGTACAGATCAAAAATCACTATTCATATTTATCGAGCTGAGAGGACACCTTTGTCTAACATTTAATAAAGTTAACTGACTTCTCAGGCTGTGTTGCAGCTAAGTGAATGAAATTCTGTTTATCACTGACTTTCCAAACACAAAGGAGTTTTGTTTAATTTTATGTGACAGCATATTTCCTTTTTGACATTATTTCTAAATCATATTTACCTTCTCCCTGACCTATAAATATCCTAAAGTTTCAAGCAGTAACTGCTTCACAGAAAAGTTTAAATTTGATCTTTATCCTTCTATGTTGCAATGCAAAGAAGAAGTAAGCCCAGACACTTATGCTTATACAGTATGGACTTCCTTTAAAAGATAATTTATGTTCCACCACTAAGTCACACAAAAAATTGTTACATCACACAATTTAGTTAAAAGTGAGAGGTGATTTTATTTGCTCATTCCATTCCTAAATTCATTCTAAAAGATAAAACGTAGTATCTTTTCTGTACCAAATACAGCCAACCCTTTCCACTTTTTTGTGTACATGTACAATATGAAACAGACATACTACCTACTTGTGTTAAGCAACCATCTCTTTTATTAATCCAAGTAACTATTTCAATACTACTTTTTCTTTTCACTGAAAGCAAAATTCTGAATGTCTCTGTATATTTGATTAAAGTTTAAACTTGGTGACTCTACATTGTACTACACTAACACAAAACTTCCATTTCTGACTCTGGGCTTTCTTAGTATGAGATGGATTCGGCCTCATTTACCTGTCCTGCAGCATTTCCTTAAACGTCTTGGAGCTTCTCTCAGACTTCTCTGACACCTGCTTTTCAATTTCTTCCCTCTCTTCTTTTTTCTTCTGCAGGTCTGAAGTGTAACTTCGCCGACGATCTTTCCATTTTGCAAGGTCCTGACAGAAAATCACATCAGCACGGTCATACCAGAATTGCTACACACCTTTTCTAGCAGCAAGAGTGCAGCAGGGTATCCTGTTACATTGCTGAAACTATTCACTCCCACTTGTGCCAAAGTGTCCTAATTTTGCTTTTTATAGCCAGAGTTTCTGTACCAACCCTTTATCTCATGTGTCTGTCTCACAAACCTGACCTAATATGATAGGTCCCAGTTTTGTTTTCTCAGAAAGTGTCGCCTAGTTGTTTCACAAAGAATGTTAAATGCTTGTAATTAGGTTAAACTGATCCGGAATTGTTTCAAATGCAGTTTTATCTCTCTTCAAAAACCTGACTGTTATGTGAAATTACATGTTCACTACTAAGAAGAAAACAGATGTTCTAATAATAACAGTTCAGGTAAGATGCATATTCCGTGGCATTTAACAAAGAGAAGCTCATTCACTATAAACACATAGATGAAGAAATCAAAGACATGGCTCCTTTCATGGAACTCTGAGTTCTCAAGGAGAGAGTGACATGTGAATAAAATTTAGTTAATGAGCAAGACAGAATTACTTGGAAGATCAATGATCCCAAAGAGAGAGGGCAGAGTTTGCAGAGGCCTCATTGAGGAGCCGAGAATTAATTACATGATGTGAAAGAGGGTAAACGACTCCTAGTTTAGGCAATACTTAAGATCATGCAGAACAACCCAGCACCCCGTTGATTTCCCATAACCCCTGAAGCTTTAAGTGTGACTTAGCTGTGTAACCCAGGACTATCAGTCTAATTCATATTTTCAATTACCCCTAGCAACCTAGGTTGCTGACCCTGACACCTACGGGGTTAAGACAGTTTGAAAAATGCAGACTTTTCTGTCTCCAAAACAGAAATATCATGCTAAGGAGACCAACAAGCATCCCAGTCCAAAGAGGAGTACATCTGAGGTCTCAGACTAAAGGAAACCTTGCCCTCACAGCATGCAAAACAAGTTTGGGAGCAGACAGGGCCTCTCCTGCTTTTCAAAGAGCTTGAAATCAATATGAACTATTTCCAGAAAGAACAAAAGCAGTGTGGGATTTAGTTCTTGAAGATACATGGTCTGTGTTTTCACCTGACTTAACCTAATGGATAACCCCCTTAATATTTATTATTTTCACACCAAAAATTTTGCTATGGATTTTGGCAAAGTGACACTGAATTACATTCTGACTCTTGACAAATAGCAATGAAAGAAGTATTTAGAATTTAGAATTTCAGAATTTAGAAATATAGTCAAGTTTAGCCAGGAATTTAGCTCAGCCTGCCTCACAAGCACAAGGTCCTGAATTTGATCCCTGGTACCAAAAAAAAAAAGCAAGAAAGAAAAAGAAATAGAGCATCAGAAATACAGCCAACTTGGAGGTTTCAACTTCACTGCATGTAGACTTCTTAGAAAATTAATATTTACTGTCTCTGGGCCTTTTGTTCAAGCTATAACTTGACTCTCTTACCACAAAGCTGTATTCAAATTTTGGAGGGTTTTGCTAGGTTTAGTTTATCTATGGCAATTCTTTTGACTTCTTCAGTTTATTACAATTATTTTTTAAAAGGATAAAGCTTTCTTCTTTAGGATCAAAACTAAAGATTAAGTCTATACCCACATAAGCACCTGAATATGTCAGCTCTGTGGAAACATCTAATTTTAATTCATATTCGATAATGACTTCTTAAGCCAAATTATGACTCTGTATTTTATTTTATTTCTTCACAATCTCTTCAATTAATTTTAAGAACCCTTTTCATCTAGACCTACTAATGTCAAGATCTGTGCTAGACCTCTGCTTGTCTACAATTCCATAAACAAGGTCTTTACCCATCAACAGCATAATTAATGTTAATACCCCAACTCAACCACCAAAGCAAGTAAGCAATGAAGCATTATGGTTCTGCAATGAAGCTCACATTTTTTGAAATCTCAGCAAATGTTAGAAGATAAACATTCTTTCATATTTTTCACAATGGTCTTTAAAATGTGCAACTGTAATAGGCCAAGGAGGTTTTAAAGTGTTTGGGACCATTTCCTAAAGAACCAAACAGTGGAATAGCAATTGTCTCTGGAGTATAGCGACTTGAAGAGAAACAGGGAAAAGTTCAAAAAATTAACTCAAGTGGAGAATACTCACATCTTGCCATTTCTGATCTTGTTCTTTTAATTGGGATTTTATTTTCTGCATCTCCTCATAACGCAGCTGACGCAAGTGCTGAACATCCTCTGGGCTGACATCACTCATGGACTTATTCCTACGGCAAGATAACCATGGTCACCAAGGTTCACATGATCAGTCTGAAGGGCAAAAGGAAGGGTGGGCTTATATTTGGAAATTCCACCTAAATTTCTGATGTGCTGCCTAGACGCTCCAGTGATAGTATCACAGGAACAGCACTACAGAGATAAATGGTGTTTTTCCAAAATGCAGAAACAAGATCCTGCTACTCAAGTCAGGTATAAATTTTTTTCACAAATGGCCAATGTATACTAATCTGTAGAAGTCTGAAAGAAATAATCCAATGATCAAATTTGGAGAAGTCAATGCATAAAAATGTTTCTTTAGGGAAAAAATTATTATTAGCCCCTAGAAATATCTGTCTTTATTTTGCTATCTCCCCCAAAGGTAAGCTATTAACACTTGGCTGCCTTTTCTGGGCACTTACTAAATAATTTAGTGATTACCTGATATTTTCTCCTCAAGTTCAATACCACAATAGATGTGCTGTTGCTTTTGAAAGATTCTGTAAGATTCTCCCCTGCCACTGCACCGGACTTGTTTTCAAAGGACACAGGCAGTTTCCAACAGCCTGTTAGAACCACCTTGATTGGCCTTGCCTCAATCGAGGCAGCATTCATGGATTCACCTTGTAGCCCCCCTCAGGAGTTGAGGTCTAACTCCCCTCCCTGCCAGAACTGGGGAAGGAAGCAAAGGCCTTCACACTGAGCTACATCCCCAGCCCTTTTTCCTCTTTTTTGAGACAAGATCTTATGAAGTCACCAAATTGCCCAGGTTGTGTGGAACTTGAAATCCTCCTGACATAACCTCCCAGAGTACTGAGATTGCTGGATTGTACCAGAGAAGAAACAATAAACAGAGTGGGCAGAGTGACACAGGCAGTCATTGCTGTCTGTGTGCATATAAGAGGGAAGGACAAACCACATCTGAGGAGAACGGGAGATTAAGGAAGCTCCTTTCCCCACCTTTGGAAGGGAATGGGTCAGGTCTGAATATTGAGGATCAGGTAGGAATAAGAAAGACAGAAAGTGTGTGAAGGTGAGGTGCTCCACGTGCTCCTTCTTACAGATCCATCACCCTATTGCACTTCTGAGTTAATCATAACTATGTTCTTACTTATTTAATTATCTTCCTCCCACACAACACTGCCATTGTATTTGCTTCATAAGGAAACTCAGTCTTGGTTACCTCCGGAATTCAATTACAACTTCCTTGAGAAGGACTCCCAAGTCTACAGCTTCAGATCTGCCCCTCCTTTCACTCATTTCCACCTGCTCACTGAATAAACATTTCTGCCTGGATATCCCCTAGGCAGCGCAACTGTAAAAGGATCAGTTGAAATAATATCTGGAAAAGATTCTGTAACACCTGGTTATTGATGTAGCTGAACTCAGTCTTGTTCCTCTTGTGTTTAATGGCCCTGCCCCCAATCATTCATATTTGAAACCTGAAAAGCATTTTTCATGTTTCTCCCTTCTCCTCACTTTCAGTTAGTTACCAAGTCTTCTCACTGTCTCTTTCCATCTCTATCACCAACACCCTAGATCAGAGCATAGAAAGACCTTACCTAGACCTCCAAAAATGCAGCTTAACATTATCACCCAAAGAAGGACTTGCCTCAAATGCTCCATCTAACTCAAACATCCTCCCTCAATACACATGCCTTTCCTTCCCCAGTATGTGGAATTGAAAAGGCCAAGGCCTTTACACTTAGCTACATCTCAGGCACGTTAAAAAAAAATTAGGGGGGGGTGGGGATTTAGCTCAGTGGTTCCAGCGCCTGCCTCGCAAGCCCAAGGCCTCAAGTTCGATCCCCAGTACAAAAAAAA